CCTGCCTGCGGTACCCCCGGGACCAGCCCCGGGATCTGCGCCGGGCGCTGCCATGGGGACACTCCCTGCGAGCGACAAGGGGTTAGGGGTCTCTGCTTGGGGCAGCTGCGTAATTGTGAGCCCATTTTCTATCTGCAGCACTCCTCTAACATAAAGAGGTGCTTGACCTTGGCTTTTTTTTAAAGGACCCATTGTGCTCCTTCCAGGCGGTGCTGTCATGTCTTCTTGTTCTCTTCCCTTTGATCTGAAATAGATGAAAACCACGACTGCTCTCCGGCTCCTTGCCTGTGAGTGGACCCAACGCTGCTGTATTAATAAGGGCTGGAGAACAAGGCACGAGTAAGGAAGGAAGAATGAAAAATTGCATGTGAAAAAGCAGAAGACCTGAAGGCAAGTTTTTCATGTCAAAACACTTGTTGGCTGCTTGTTTTGAGGGTTTCAATTTAAACAATATATGAAAGGCAGTGGCCTGAATCCTTCCAGTTGAAGCTTTGGGCAGATCAAGGGAAGTGCCACAGCTGCTGCTGCACTGTGCTACCGAGATGCTCTCACGATGCTCTTGTCTGAATTTATTTTTAGAGATGGAAACCTCTGCTTTTCTGCGATACTCAGCATCGCTGCACCAGGAAGGCTGTCAGAAGGAATTCAGCTTCTGTGCTCCCTTTTCCTGCGACCTTAACATCTACAGCGCTGAGCCCTGCTCGACATTTCCAGCAAAACCTTCTTCTCCAGATTGTCTTGATTTTTTTTAAGCATTGACGCCACTCATAAAATTTCAGAAAAATAAGATAATTAGTGCCGCTTGTAAGTAACTTTTAGGGAAATGTCAGCTGCTCTGCATTCAGCATATGCTGAAGCAGTATTCTTCAAATGCTCGAAATTTCTTCTCCAGCTTCCTGTGGATGAACAGGTCACATCCAAGCTGTGTTACGACTGAGGCAGCGCCAGAAAATTATAGATGTCAGCAACCTGCAGACTGTGCTGTATATGGAAGACTAAAATTACACTGAAGGAAATAAGGAAGGTGAGGAGAGATTTCCGATAAGAGCTCTCTGCTAGTGGAGGGCACCTTCTGTGACTGATTTTGGGAAGAGTTTGTTTACCAGAAATTTTGGTAATAGCCTTGATGTCAGTTGTCATCTGCTGTGTTCAACAGTTGACACATGTCCTCCTCCCCCGTTCCGAGGCGTGAGCTCTGGGTGAGCAGCACCTCTGAGACATTTTTGTCTCCAGCTTGTTGACCACCCTTTGAGAGGAACGGCACGGGTGAAGGAAGCAAGACAGGGATGGCAACCATTTACATGACGTGGGGTCACCCCCAGCATCTCCACCGCCCCAGAGCAGCCTGTTGGGACCACTGGCCTAGAACAGCAGCTGCCCGACAGACCATTAACTTCCACTGCTGGATTCGTAAATACTGTCTTGTCCTTCTCAAATATCACATTGGCCGCATGCTCGCCCATGAATCTTCGAGAATTATAGAAGCAGTTGAAAATGATGTTCCCAACATGAATGTAAGAGAAGAACAGCAGTTGCTTATTGCTAACCAAGATGCCAGATTAATAATATTAATTTATTTTTTCAGTGAGCCCTGACTGGGTTGAAATCAGTTGTGAGCTCAAAGGAGGAGAAGATTTCTGTCTGTGTGTTGAGTTTTCTGTCTAACTGACACAGCGAGTCCATTTCAAGCAGGCTACCTTCCCCCCGCCGCCCCCGGAACGCTCCCCTTGAGAGAAGCACCAGCTTGTTCTTACTAAGAAGCATTTCTCTTGATCTCTGTAGTGCCTCTCATCCTAATTGCAGCTATCTCGTTTCAAACGTCTCATTGTCTTCCCAATTAGAAATGAGCCCCAGGGTTTGGTTCCCATCCTCCTTGCTCCCCGGCAGGAGCGGAGGCTCTCGGTCACGGCTTGAGCCTTGTTCCGTCTCCCCGGCCGTCAGCCTGGCTCGGGGGTCTGATGGAGGCGGGAGATACTCTTTGTGCGAGTTCCTATCAGCAAACCCAAGACGCAACCCGCAGACACCCGCCTGCCAGCGCTGCAGCTGACAGGCTGTGCCATAATAGCTGCTCAGTGTTACAGTGCTCTCCGGCTCCCCAATTTAAAA